CTGGCTGTCTCTCCTCACTCTCTCCTGGCTGTCTCTCTCCGCTCTCTCTCCTGGCTGTCTCTCCTCGCTCTCTCTCCTGGCTGCCTCTCCTGGCTCTCTCTCCTGGCTGTCTCTCTCCGCTCTCTCTCCTGGCTCACCTTCCTGTATTTTGCAAACAGTGCAGTGCAACAGGCTGTGTAAACTAATATTCCTTTCTCTCCCCTGGCTGTCTCTCCTCGCTCTCTCTCCTGGCTGTATCTCCGCTCTCTCTCCTGGCTGTCTCCCCTCGCTCTCTCCCCTGGCTGTCTCTCCTCTCTCTTTCCTGGCTGTCTCTCCTCTCTCTGTCTTGGCTGTCTCTCCTCGCTTAATAGGTAATCATGTGTGCACAGCGAGGGGCCGCCCTTCCCCCCCTTCCTGATCTCCCAGCATCAGCTCTGAGAGCTCCTCATAGATCACCATCTACCTTATGGGCCCCCCTGATCTAGACCTTGGCAGCCTATCATATTGTGTAGGGATCTCTTGATTCATGTCTGCCAGCCTCTGTTCTTTGAACTGCTTGTTCCCGGCTGCCGTTGTTATCAGTAAACCTGTTGAATGAAGCTTGCGCCGGGCCCGATCCTTTGCTTCTCTACGTCACAATATAGAGTAGGGAGCGGTGAAGGTGAACTCTGGTCAGCACCTTTATGATAGTCTTCTTTCCTCAATATTCATTCCTTTTCGTGTAGCCGAGCAGCCGTTGAGTAATTCATCTGTAAAGGTCCCGTTGCCAAAGCTCACCGCCCTAATATCCTGTTTGTAAGACCGGAGGGCGCTCTGCTCTCGCCTTGAGTGGGGCCAGGGCCATCTTTAACATTGATTGGACAATCAATGGGCATACATCTTCTTGGGCAGCCCCTACACGCCACACCCTGACCCGCCCCCCACCATGCAATGCAGAGCACATAGGAGGAGACATCAGAGGGAGACGTAACCCTGTGTGAGACGTCACATGGTAAAGCTACGCGGTGTACAGCAGGGAAGGAACAACCGGTGGCACAGTAAACAGAACAATGCCACGTGTGTATCTTTTGCGGGGCGAAAGGGGCGGCTGCTTTGGGCCCCCACGACAGTGACTGGGCCCAGGGCAACTGCCCCTTTTGCCCTGCGTTAAAGACAGCCCTGAGTGGGGCCACCAGTGACGTCCCCTGTGACTTCCCACCAGAGTAGGATGAAGTCTCTTCTGAATTCCCTCATAAGGTCTTGGTGCACTTACTGAACACAGACTATGCTGGCGGGACTCTCGTAGAGGCAATGGAGGTTCTCGTGGTATCTCCATCTTTATGGTCCAGGAAGAACAACAGAAAGGTTCCTGTGTAGACTTCCCATTCAACCGGTCACTCCCCACTTCTCCATGGTGGGGGACAGTCACAGCTTGTCTCCTCTAGGCCCAGAACCAGTGTCTTCATGGTGACCTCCAAGGAGGAGACATCCCTCCATCCTTTCCATCCTGAGGCACCAAGACCCGGGGGGGGGGAGAGAGACAGAGTTTCTATGGCGACATTCTTACACGGGAAATGCCCATGAGGGGAAGAGACAGGAAGTGACCTAAATATTTTACAGTTCTCCCAGCAGGCATCAATAGACCCCAACCCAAGCCTGCTGATTGGCTAGGCCAGGGATGTCCAAACTGCATCCCTCCAGCTGTGGCGGAACTACGAATCCCATGAGGCTTTGCAAGATTCTCACAGACATGACTCCCGGAGAGAGATGCTTCATGGGATTTGTAGTTTCACCACAGCTGGAGGGCCGGAGTTTGGACATCCCTGGGCTAGGCCATCGAAAATCCATAACACAGAATAATACCTCTCTAGCACCTCCTGCTGGAGCGAGCTTAAACAGCAAGTGTGGAAGAAAATCCACTCTAGACACACAGCCTTCTAGCATACACAGGGGTGGCTCCATAGGACCCTGCAAGGGAAAGGAGTTACCCTAAATCAGGGAAATCAGGACTAGCTGATTCTGCAGGAAACTAAAACTTTAAACATCAACTTTAAAGAAGCAGCATCCATCGTAAGTGACTCCATCAGTATGTGAAACCGCTTAAAAACCTTTAGACATAACCCCAAGGTTGCTGACCTCTGCTCTACAAAGTGAGGGGAACTCTCCTCTCAGACAGCCGTCCCCATTGGAAGATTTCCCCCTCTATCGGGCTTGTCAACCCCTCAGCTTTCCACTGACAAAAAAAAATGAAGGAAACTACTGGAAACAGTCACCTGCAAAGTCAGACAAGGGCCCGGCCGTACAGTATGAGTTTGTTCTCATTCAGGACCCCCCCTCCCCCACACCCAACCTCCTGCTGGGCAACTGATTGGCTGTTCCGCCCAGATATTTCAAACCGGCTCAGTTGTCAAAAGTTGATTGATCCCCCTTCCACGTTTCCCTAAATCACGCCATTAATAGGTCTGCTGCCTCTTGGGCATTGCCAGTTGTTGTGAGGCCGACCTCTCTCTGGACCGATCTCTGCAGAACCCCCGAATGGGCATGGAGGGAGGCAGGAGCAGGGGGAGCAGTGGCCAGGGCCGGATTTACTCTCCCTGCCGCCCCAAGGCCAGGTTCCACAATACGCCCCAATCCCCGCCCCCCTGTTTCATATTTCAAAAATTCAGTGTAAAGGAAAAGTATTGGTAAAAAAAAAGACAATTCTGGGTTTAACCAATCACTTTTGGCATATAAATAAACTCGTAATTGGGGCCATGCAGGGCCGGATTTACTCTCCCTGCCGCCCCAAGGCCAGGTTCCACAATACGCCTTACACCGGCGCCCGCAACTTCCCCACAAGGTCACTGCTGCCGCCCCTCTGCGCTCTGCCGCCCCTCTGCGCTCTGCCGCCCCTCTGCGCTCTGCCGCCCCGAGGACGGGTCTCGTGGCCTTGTGGGATATTTAGGCCTGGCAGTAGCACAGGTTCCCATCTCCACCTTCCCTCCAATGATGAAGATGGTGGTCTGGGAATACATCACGACGTCACAGCACAATGCACTGGAGCTCAGGCGATCAATGCTCGGGTTGGCTCTAGAACCGCACATGCACAGTAGATATAATGACCGATCTGGGACATTTGTACCGGCACCATCAACATATATTCATGAATGGGAGCCACCGCTCTAAGCTCCGCCCCCCAGGGATAGAACTACAATCTCAGGTTTAGTTTACTAATTTGTATTGAGATTGTAGTCCATCCCAGTGGGGGGGTGGGGGGTGGGAGCTTGGAGTGGTAACTACAACACACATAGGGAGCCCCATCATCTTATCCGTCATGGCCGCCGGGAACTTCCAAACCCTTCTGCGCGACCCCGCGAGTCGCTTTCTCCTCCGATAACATTGTGTCATTTTATTGTGTAACATTTTCTGCTCTTGCAAAACGATGACAACATTTCCTCTATCACCGTTATTGCGTCATCACCTCAGGAACACTTCTCCAGTCTCAGCGCACAGCTCACAGAGAGGAGATCAGCTGTCTGCTACAAGAGTCCACGCCGAGGTAAGTCCACATCACATCTCATATTCTGTGTGCTGCATTCCTTATATTACATAAGTGCTGAGTTCCCGGGTCTGTACACCCGCTGTGCCCATTATGAGGGGCCCCCACCATCCCTGTGCTGAGTTCCCGGGTCTGTACACCCGCTGTGCCCATTATGAGGAGCCCCCACCATCCCTGTGCTGAGTTCCCGGGTCTGTACCCCCGCTGTGCCCATTATGAGGGGCATCTAGCCCTCGCTGGTCCAGTTGCTGGGTCTGTGGGGAGAATATCACCAGAATATTTGCTGCTTTTCTTGCAGGAGTCGCTCCAATGTTAAGTGTCGGCCACCCTGAGGATCCCCCCAGCTACAATGCCATCCTAGCCACTGATGTCTCCCCAATGACATACTCATCACCACCACACACTGCGGGAGGAGAGGTGATTAAAGGTGTCCCCCCAGGACTGCAGTACCTGCTGCAGGTGAGACCACTAATACACGATTATCCGCGTCTGTGTGTCCCATGCTACTTGTTCATTGTGTGTCTTGTGCTCCTCTATCTGACCTCCGTCCTCCCCTTCAGTCTTCTATCTGACCTCCGTCCTTCCCTTCAGTCTTCTATCTGACCTCCGTCCTTCCCTTCAGTCTCCTATCTGACCTCCGTCCTCCCCTTCAGTCTTGCACAGTTGTACCGGCTCCTCTCCTCTGATGTCACTGCATTAGAAGCTACAGCAAGTCAGATAGATCCCGCCTCATTTCCTGGATGGAGGATGTCCAGCATCATTTAGCACATTCCTCCCCAGGCTGTCTCTGGCCCCGCCCCTTTCATTCATTGTATTTCATTCACCTAGGGCAGCCTGCATGCAGGTGAAGCCTGCCCAGGTACATCCATTCCTCCGGACTGATATCCACCCATCAAGGCATTTTGATATTTGACTAACTCCTCCCAAGAGCTTGGACCTCGGCCTGCATCAGGGTTGAAGGCGGGGAGGAAGGGAGGAGCCAGGGAAGGCAAAATATAGGCAGATTAAACATCAGCTTATAAAACCAGCGAGCTGTTCAATGTACACGACTCAGAGACGCCAAATATATACCAATTGATAGACCGTAGAGGGAAATATAAAGTGTCAGCCTGGAGTATGAGAATGTCACCATTGTATTTATATCATTTATATACAGGCCGGAGATGACTGGAGAGGGTCAGTGAGCAAATTTCAGGTTTGGGGAGGAAAGGCGGTGATAACAAAAACACTGATTGGGGGCTTGTCCGGGATCCGGGTTTTGTACCGCCGGTTAACATGTCCCTCCCCCAATGTCATCTGTACATCCCCATCACTGGCCTTCCACTACACAGGATATCCCCCCTTCAGTCTATCACGAATGCAGCTGCCAGACTCATTCACCTTACCAACCGCTCAGTGTCTGCATCCCCCCTCTGCCAATCCCTCCACTGGCTTCCACTCGCCCAGAGGATAAAATTCAAAATATTAACAGTCACCTATAAAGCCATCCACAACTCTGCCCCCGGATATATCTCAGACCTTGTCTCAAAGTATCACCCTAAACGTCCCCTCCGCTCATCCATTGACCTCCTGCTTTCCAGCTCCCTTGTCCACTCCTCCCATACTCGCCTCCAGGACTTCTCTAGAGTCTCTCCCATCCTCTGGAACTCCTTAGCCCAACCTATCCATCAGTCTCCCACCTTGACTGCCTTTAGGCGTTCCCTAAAGACTCATCTCTTCAGGGAAGCCGATCCCACCTCAACCTGACCACTGAACCTTCACATTCTCACATAATTCATTCCCACACAGCTCCCTCCTCATGTATCACTGGCCCCTCCCCTTTTAAATTGTAAGCCCTCAGGGGCGGGGCACTCCTTACCATCTTGTCTTGTATTGTAACTGTAATGTCTTCCTTATATTGTAAAGCGCTGCGCACACTGTTGGCGCTCTATAAATACTATGTAATAATAATAATAATAATCACTGTCCCATCCTCCGTGTGATATCACAGAGAACATTCCAGTAACTCTTCTCTTGTTCTTGCAGATAAACCAGCTCTCCATACATGAGAGATGTAAGTACCCCACCAACCTCTCCCTTCCTTCAGCGAGCATTACATAAGAGTGAACCACCCTACGGGGTAGGAGATAGGACCCGGGTCAGGCTCATTTGCAGGTGGCAAGTACTGATCTGTGGACCTCCTCTGGACTCAGAGGAGGCTTCCGTAAAAATGGCCTTTCCCTGAACCTAAGTCTGGTGTCCGGTAGGGTTATATAGACGTGTTGGTCAGGGACCTGTGAATTAGCATTTGGCTGATCATTTTATTTTGTATCTTGATGTCCAGCATTCTCCTCGTGTACTGCCAGCGTCCTGGCCCTGAGGAAGGGGAAGGATTTGACCCCCAAAATGTGTTGGCTTTCTCCTCTGACCTCGTGCTACGTGTGATAAACTTTCAATTGGATATGTGGTGCTTTTATCCTTCTCACATTCCTGTGGGGTTAAATACGAAAGGCCACACTAGCCCTGGTGGGATGGTAAAGGGGCCTTTACCCACATGACCCTTCACAGTTTAAAGAAGGCCATTATTAAAACCCTCTTATCCTACAAAACCCCATCTGTGTCTGAAACAATCCACTCTATGAACTTGTTAGAGGGACCTTTCCACCCATCAGCAGTCTATGAAGGGATCCCATGTTCTGTATTAGGATGTAGGCTCCCTGACCCCAACCCCCCCCCACCCTCCTTGGGGGTTATTACCCTTTTCCTAGCCTGAGAAGAAGTCAAATCACCTCCACCTACAACTAATGTCCTCTTGTCCCTCTTGTCAGTCAGCCTTCCCGTGTCTTGGGATCTGTTCTGCCACGTGGGTGTGCTGATGATTGGCGGGACCTGTATGACTCCAAAGCCCCAGCTGGCCACCATCTGTCATTGTATGGGTGAGCTCTGTCCTCCTCCGAGATACATCCCCACGATGTCTGTTTCTCTCACCCGCAGTCTCGGTGTCACAAGGCCGGGCGAGGAGCTTCGATGTTCTGGACCACAGAGGCCAGCGGATATATCAGGCCAATCAGCACGTCGAGTGTTGCGGACCCACCTTTGACCTGAGGGTCAGAGATAACCGAGCGGATGATGTCATGGGTGTTACTGTGAGCAATGGCTGCGGGTGTTCAAGACAGGTAAGAGGCCTAAAGCCCAACTCTGGGCTTCTCCCTTACAAATCGACCCCCCTCGCCCTCAACCTTGCTCTTTGGTTGTATATACTAACCTTCTCCAGATGTCTTCAGACTGGTCATGAGACATGTAGGATCCTCGTTGCCTCTTCTCCAGTCTGGGCGGTCTTTACTGATGCAGAGATTGGCAATGACATATTGGCATCAGCATCCATGATGACACCCCGCACTCACCGTGTGTCCTCGGTCTTCTGGGCTGAGTGTCGCTGAACTCTATAGACAAAGGGCAGCTTTTGGAGAAAAAGAAGTACTGAGGAGTGCAGCTCCGGATTGAAGGTGAGTATTGCAGAGTAACTTTTAACACCTGAGGGACCTCACTAAGAAATAAAAAAGACCAGAGTTGGGCTTCAAGGTTCATTAAATGTCTAAGACAATGACAACGAGGGTTCAAATTAATCATGAGGTCATCCACTGTGACCCTGAGAAACAGAAACAACACTGAGAAATACCAATAAAGACCCGGTACTGCCAGACTTTGCTTCAGGACCTCCGTCCTCTCCTTCAGTCTTCTATCTGACCTCCGTCCTTCCCTTCAGTCTTCTCTCTTACCTCCGTCCTCCCCTTCAGTCTTCTATCTGACCTCCGTCCTCCCCTTCAGTCTTCTATCTGACCTCCGTCCTCCCCTTCAGTCTTCTATCTGACCTCCGTCCTTCCCTTCAGTCTTCTATCTGACCTCCGTCCTCCCCTTCAGTCTTCCGTCTGACCTTCGTCCTCCCCTTCAGTCTTCTATCTGACCTCCGTCCTCCCCTTCAGTCTTCTATCTGACCTCCGTCCTTCCCTTCAGTCTTCTATCTGACCTCCGTCCTCCCCTTCAGTCTTCTATCTGACCTCCGTCCTTCCCTTCAGTCTTCTCTCTTACCTCCGTCCTCCCCTTCAGTCTTCTATCTGACCTCCGTCCTCCCCTTCAGTCTTCTATCTGACCTCCGTCCTACCCTTCAGTCTTCCGTCTGACCTCTGTCGTTCCTTCAGTCTTCTATCTGACCTCCGTCCTTCCCTTCAGTCTTCTATCTGACCTCCGTCCTCCCCTCCAGTCTTCTATCTGACCTCCGTCCTCCCCTTCAGTCTTCTATCTGACCTCTGTCCTTCCCTTCAGTCTTCTATCTGACCTCCGTCCTCCCCTTCAGTCTCCTATCTGACCTCCGTCCTCCCCTTCAGTCTTCTATCTGACCTCCATCCTTCCCTTCAGTCTTCTATCTGACCTCCATCCTTCCCTTCAGTCTTGCACAGTTCTCCATCAAACTAAAGGGAAGGATTTCAGAGGCCGGAGGTCAGATCTAAAGACAAGAAGGGAAGGCTGGACTGAAATGGCTTACTCTGATCTCACTGCACATGGTGGGGTTCCCACTACCGTGTTTCCCCGAAAATAAGACAGTGTCTTATATTTTTTTTTTTCACAAAAAAAGACACTAGGTCTTATTTTCGGGTGGGAGGGAGGGAGCTGCGGCCGTGACATGTAAAATTCTATTATACCCCGAAAGTAAGACCTAGCGGATCTCTGTAATATAAGACCTACCACCGAACTAGGTCTTATTTTCGGGGTAGGTCTTATATTACAGAAATCCCTGATGATAGCACTAGGTCTTACTTTCGGGGAAACACGGTATGTGCATTAGAACACCAGATGGAGCCCACCTCATGTCCTGGCTGGAGGACGTCGAGCGTCGTCTAGACCTCTCCTCCCCAGCCTGACTGTCCCTGACCCCGCCCCTTTCATTCATGGAGGCTCAGCATGACATGTGTATGCAAATACAGCCTGCCTAGGAACGCCCACTCCTCCAGACTGACACCCACCCATTAAGGCATTTTGATATTTGCATAAATCCTCCCAAGAGCCCGCCCACTGTTTGCAGCAGGGCTGAGGGCCCTGGAGAGAAGAACTGAAGCAGGGTGCTGGGATGCTTTCAGGAAACTATGTACAGCACCAGGGTCGTAGCTAGAAATCACAGGGCCCCATAGCAAAATTTTGTATGGGGCCCCCGTGATTTCTAGTTCCCCCCCCTTGCAGAGCCCCTCTGAGATCCCACACAGCCCACCTGAGGGTGATCCTGCAGAGCCCACCATAAACTCTCTATGGTGGGCTCTGCAGGGTCTCAGGTGGGCTGGTCACACCCCTGCACACCTCTTACCTGCCTCCTCTTCCGTCGCCAGGCCCCCACCTCCTCTTCCATCCCTGGGCCCCGCCTCCTCCTCTGCTGCCGACGTCAGGCCCAGCCACCTCCTCCTCCGCTGCTGGCTGTCGCTGACTCAGCAGTCGGCTGCGAGGAGGAACAGGTTGTCGGTGATCTGAACAGCGGCGCATTCCCA